GAGCGGGCGGGAGCAGATGGCTCCGGATCCCAGAGTTCCCGCCGCAGCTGCGGCGCCGCGAGAACGTCCGGCCGTGTCAGGCGCGGGCTGGCCAGGCGGTGGAAGAGGCTCCTTTGCTCCGACTCCCCAGGAAGGCCTCTGCCTTCCCAGGCCGGGATGGGGATGGGGCCCTTCCCACAGTTCTTGGGGTGCTCGTGGGAGGGCATGGAAGGGCGAGCACAGGAGCTTGAGCACCATCCCCTGGACTGTGGGGAGGGTCGGGCCACCTTGCTGTTGACCTTGAAAAGGGAGAGGGCTATTCCTCGCCTCAGTTTCTCTCCTGCGGAATGGAGCCCGAGGAAAGCCCCCCTCTTTCTGGGAGCCCCGCCCAGCCCTCCAGGGAGCCCTCTCTTGGGACAGGGCTCTTGGCTTCTGAGGGAGAGGCCACAGTGTCTGGCCGTCCAGCCCGGGACAGGGACCTGCGCAGGGTGGCTCTAAGGGAGATGCCAGCTGGAGTATTTTTGTCTCGCTGGCGCTGTTGCTAAGCAACCAGGAGCAGCAGCAACAGCTGCGGGGCGAGCGAGGCCTGGGGCCACCGGCCACCGGCCGTCCACGGCTCCGGCCCGCCCGCGCCTTGCCGGACCTGCGGTGGAGGCGGGGAGCAGGACTGAGCAGCCCCTCTTGCGCTCTTCCCCTTGCAGAGGCCGTGGTCAACAGCCAGGAATGGACTCTGAGCCGCTCCATTCCTGAACTGCGCCTGGTAGGTGACACCGATGTCCCACGTGTCTGCAGGCCTCTCCCTGCCCCCCAGCACTGAAGCACCCCGGGAGTCCCCCAGGTGTCCGGAAACTTTGCCCCAGCCCTGGGCTGGGCAGCACGTTGTCCCCTCTCGTGACCCTGGTCCTCTTCCGGGCGCTTCCACCTGCTGGCCTCCCCCGCCCCCCGCCCCAGCACTGAGGGGAACCTGCCCACGGATCCGTGCGGCTGTGACACGCCACACACCACATGCCTGCACACAGTGGCGTGTCCCAAGGGACACAAATTGGCACTGAGGGGCCTCCCTGGTGGTGCGGGGGGTTAAGTGTCTGCACCGGGAAGCTTGTCCACCGCCAGGGTTCCATGCCCCCGGGGGGCCCCAGGCCGCAGCAGCCCCCTCCCGCCTCCCCGCTGCCCCCTCAGCAGTGGGTTTCAGGGATCGGCCGATGCGCTCCCCGCTCTGTCTGGCGGGTCCCCTCGTCCGCGCCTCTGGCCTGCACCCAGCCCCTTGTGTGCACAAGTGAGTAGATCTGTAAAACAGTGGCACTGAGCCGCCGGCTCCTCCCACACGTGGCCACGTGAGTCCGGCAGTTTCTCGCCAGGCCCGTGGCCGGTCCTCTTGGCTGCTCCCTAGCTGCGACCGGGCCCTGTGGCCTCCTGGACTTGACCTGCTGGTCTCTGTGCGTCCTCCCGAACTCTGCTTCTTCTCAGCCCCGTCTCTGCCCACGGCTTTGTCCCCAGGGTGTGCTGGGGGACGCCAGGAGCGGGAAGTCATCCCTCATCCATCGATTCCTGACTGGCTCATACCAGGTGCTGGAGAAGACAGAGAGTGAGTCTCGGGATCCAGCAGCGGCGGGCGGGCGGGGGCGCAGGGCCGGGACTGGCAGCTGTGGCCAGCGGGACAGAGGCGCTGGGGCACAGCCGGGGAGGCCGCTGGCCGCGCTGACTGGCGAGCTCACCCGACAGGCGAGCAGCACAAGAAGGAGATGCTGGTGGACGGACAGACCCACCTGGTGCTGGTTCGAGAGGAAGCCGGGGCCCCCGACGCCAAGGTGAGGGTGGGCCGGCGGGCTGGCCACGGGGCAGGGTCTGGCTTCCGGGCCCCGCTGGCGAGCGGCCGGAGCCGCCTGGCCCGACCTCAGCCCGCTGCCTTCCTCCCGCCAGTTCGCAGGCTGGGCGGACGCGGTCATCTTGGTCTTCAGCCTGGAGGATGAGGGCAGTTTCCAGGCGGTGAGCCGTCTCCACGGGCAGCTGAGCTCGCTCCGGGGAGAGGGGCGAGGAGGCCCGGCACTGGCGCTGGTGGGGACGCAAGGTAAGGAGGGGCTGGCCGGCCGCCGGGGGCCCGGGGTGGCGCCTGGACGGCCGCCGGCGCAGGCAGGCTCAGAGGTAGCAATGTGCCCGTCTCCACGCCAAGCCCCGAGGCCCAAGCAGAGAGAAGGGGCTCTCCTTGGAGGGGGACAGTGACAGCACCGCCTGTCCCCTGCCTCCAGGGAGGTGGCACCGCCGGCCCGGGAGCTCGGGCAGTGTGGGCAGAGGCCTCTGACTCGGCCAGGCTGCAGGCCTTGAAGGGAAGTTATCTGAGACCAGCAGAACACGCACCTGGCCGGGAGACCATGACCACGGGGGTGGATTTCCTGGGAGGCGCCCCCACGGCTCTCCAGATGTGCTGCCCCCACTTCCCCGAGTGTGGGGAACTCCACCGCATAATTGGGGGGGGGCTGCGTTCGTGCTCTCCCTGGGGGAAAGACAAAGAGAAAACACAAAGCAAGTCGGAGAAAATGGGGCAAGGAGCCGGCTGGGCCAAGAAGGGCCGCGGAGGCTGGGGGCGGTCGCTGGCTGGACAGCAGCCACCCTGCGGGGGGACAGGACCCATGCGCACTGGGGGACGGGACCCGCGCGCACTGGGGGACGGGACCCGCGCGCACTGGGGGACGGGACCCGCGCGCACTGGGGGACGGGACCCGTGCGGGCCGGGCTGTGGGCTGCTCCCACCGTGCCCCCTGCCGCTCGCTGCGTGCTGGCGGCGAGGGCGTCTTGGCCTCTGCAGGGCACAGACAGGCGTCCTCAGGCGTGGGCAGGGTGACGGCCACCCGTGAGTCCCACCACTCCAGACCTCGTCAGGAAAGGCGCTCGCCTCCGAGGGCTCCGGCCACGGCCGGGTGCTGACCACCCTCCCCGCTGGCCTAAGGGCCTCTCACACGGGCTGGGGCTCGGGGAGGGAGGAGGGGAGAGGAGGACGCCTGCCACTGCCCCCCCCCCAGACAGGATCAGCGCGTCCTCCCCGCGGGTGGTGGGCGACGCCCGGGCCCGGGCCCTGTGTGCGGACATGAAGCGCTGCAGCTACTACGAGACCTGCGCCACCTATGGGCTCAACGTGGACCGGGTCTTCCAGGAGGGTGAGTGCGGGGCCTGGGCCGGGCAGGCCCGGAGTGTCCTCGAGGCCCGTGTCGGTCTTTAGCAGCAGGGGCCAGGGAGCAGCGGGGTCAGGGGTTTGCCTGGCATCTGGCCGCCAGCCTTGGGCCCGAGCAGCTGGGGGGCGTGGGGCCACCGAGGCCACGGGGACAGGGCCGGCGGGGCCCGAGTCACCCCTGGAGTTTGTCAAGTCTGAGCACAGATGGAAGGCCGCCAGGGGCACCTGTCCTGTCCCCGCAGCTCCCCTGGGGTATCTGTCCTGCCACGCCCCCCCAGGCTCCCAGGGCACCTGTCCTGCCCCCCCCCCCCCGCACCTGTCCTGCCACGCCCCCCCTCCCCTGGGGCACCTGTCCTGCCACGCGCCCCCTTCCCTCAGTGGCCCAGAAGGTGGTGACTTTGCGCAAACAGCAGCAGCTCCTGGCGGCCTGCAAGTCCCTGCCCAGCTCTCCCAGCCACTCAGCCGCCTCCACACCTGTAGCCGGGCAGGTGAGTGGGGTCTGCGGCCCCAGCGGTGGCCAGTAACAGGAGGAGGGCGTGGGCTGAGGACAGGAGAGCTGGAGGGTGGGGCCGCCGGGTGGGAGCGGCAGTGAGGCTCCCCGCAGGAAGTGCAGCGGTCTGAAGGTCCCGGGCCAGAGCCCTGCTCCCCACGCCCTGAGCGAGGCCCCCAAGCCTCCACGGTCAGGGAGTGTGTGGCCAAGCGGAGTCAGCTTGCGCGCAGCCTGCAGCTGTGTGGCTGCACTGATGCGCTGCAGCGTCGTCGGGTGGACAGAGGCGGTCAGGGAGAAGGCCACGCCCCGCGGGGTGCGGCAGGGTGGGGGCGTCTCACATGCCGCTGACACGTCTGCGCCCCCAGGCTAGTAACGGGGGTCACACCAGCGACTACTCGTCTTCCCTCCCGTCCTCCCCCAACGTTGGTCACCGGGAGCTCCGAGCCGAGGCCGTGTCAGCGGCCGGACTGAGCACCCCAGGGTCCCTGCACCGGGCCGCCAGGCGCAGGACCAGTCTGTTTGCGGTATTGCTTGCAGGAGATCCCCCCATCTCCCCGCCAGCCCCTCCTCCCGGGAGACCCCCCAGCCCCTCCTCCCAGGAGCACCCCCCCAGCCCCTCC